TCATTAAAAGAAATGTTGAGGCTCGACAACGATTGCATATATCAATAGCAAAATTTAAGTGAACCGAATACAGCTTATCATTTGGAGATATAAAAGCTGTTCATTTTTTATCACTTGAATTATATGTAGGGATATTGCTATGCAACATCGATTATTGGTTTTAGACTTTAAGATTAATGAGTGTAATAAGAAAAATAAAGTAAAATGTTATCCTAGGATTAAATGAGGATATTTAAAGAATAATAAAAATATTTTTTAGAGTAAGATTCAAAATCTTTATATTCTGGCTGTACATGAGAAAGCTAATGTTATGTGAGAAAAAAATAGCTAATGATATTAAAAATATTACAAAGGATGTGCTTGGAGCATCAAAAGAAATATTTCCTAATAGTAAAAATAGTTTTTGGTGGAATCAAAATGTGCAAGAAAAGAACAAAAACAAAAAACTTTGTTATAAAAATTGGTTTAGATGAAAAAACTCAAAAAATTGAGAAAGACATAAAGAGGATCATAAAGAGTCTAAGAAATTAATATGCGATGCAAAAAATTTAGCTTTTAATTATTATATAATATATTAGATATTAATGACGGCGAAAGATGTATGTATAAGTTAGTTAAGTAAAGAGATAGGAGAAGTACAAATTTAGTTCAACTGAAGTGTATTAAGGATGAAGATAAAAAAATACTTTTATTAGAATATGATATTTAAAGGTGGATGAGATATTTGACAAGTTTTCAAAATATGACTGATTTTAGTGACTTTAGCACCTTAAATGAAAATAGAGTTTTTTATTTTTATCGGCGTATTAATAAAATTGAAATTGGAGAGATTTTAAAGAAAATGAAGTGTGGAAAAATTGTTGAACCTAATGATATTTCAATAGAGGTGTGGAAATACTTAGGAGATGAAGAAATTTCTTGCCTTACAAAAAATTTCCATATTATTTTGAAAACTAAAAAGGCGTTAGATAGTGAAAGAGGAGTAGGTTGATTCATATTTTTAAGAATAAAGGTGATACACAAGAGTGTGCAAATTATAGAGGAATTAAGTTAATGTGTCATACTTAAAAACTATTGGAGAGATATTGAGCATAGATTATGATGCGATACTAATATTTCTCAAAATCAATTTGGATTCATGTGGGGTAGGTCTACTATGGGAGCTATACATTTATTGAGAGGTTACAAGGGAAAGTGTAGATAGATTAAGGAGGATCTACATATGATGTTTATTGATTTAGAGATATATTATGATAAAATTCCAAGAGAAGTGTTATGGAGAGTTTTAGAAAAGAAAGAGATTAATAATGCATATACTCAAGTCATTAATGATATGTATGTAGGAGTTGTTACTTCCATTCAAACACAAAGTGGGATGACCAAGTATTTTTTTATTTTAGTTGGATTACATCAAGGATTAGCTTTAAGCTCATAGCTTTTTGCTTTAGTCATGGATGCTCTTACTAGACATTTGCAAGAGGATGTACCCTGGCGTGTGCTTTCTTGCTGATGCTATTCTTTTTGTTGATAAGATTAGAGAGAGAGTTGAAGATAAACTTAAATTATGTAGGTCAACTAGTTAAGAGTCTAGAAGTTTTCATTTAAGTAGATATAAAATTGAATATATGAAGTATAATTTTATTATTAATAGATCTAGTGGGTGAATTGTGGCTTTGGGTGATCAATTCGTTAATAAGAGAACGCATTTTATATATCTTGAATCTATTGTCTAGAGTTATGATGAAATAGATGTGGATATTATTAGCAGAATTCAAGTTGGATGGTTGAAGTGGAGGAATGCATCGGGCCTGTTGTATGATAGAACACCCCTCAAACTTAAGGGAAAATTCTATAAGATGGTAGTGAAACTTGCAATACATTATGGCACAAAATGTTGGCCATTAAAAGAGAAAAATAAAATTAAGTAAAGTTTTACAGAGATGAGGATGCTCAGGTGGATGTATGACTTTACTCTTAGAAACATATTGTAAAATGAGCATATACATGAAAATGTTGGAGTAGCTCCAGTGGAAGATAAGATTAAAGAGAGTTTGGTTAGATGATTTGGTCAGTCACATAAATGTCAACCTTTTGATGACCCGGTTAGGAGAATATATCTATTAGGTTTAACTTATGTTAAGAAATGTCAAGGTAGACCTAAGCAGACTTAGATAGAAAATATTAGAAATGATCTTTTTTTTATTAGATTTAAATGAGAATTTTACTTTTAACCAAGTCCAGACATGACGGGGAAAAATGATTTATGTAGCCGCCTAACGTAGTGTGATGAAGGTCGGCTTAATGATGATTATATTGTTATGTAGCAATGCTT